TTGGGAATAAAACTTCCGCTGCCACCACCCAAATATTGATAAAGAAATCAGGGGAAAGATCATTTGGGAAATCTCACCCCTATTATAAAAATCAGGACACACAAGTAACCAATGCCAGGTTAATAAAAATAAAAGAGAAGACTTTTATTATTACAACAATATTCCTGTTGCAGACATAATGGCTACGTCTATACTGGCATCCCTTCCGGAAAAGGGATGCTAATGTAGCACGTCGGAATTGCAAGTAGGAATAAGAAATCCTCCGGAAAAGGCTTTATTTTCCGGAGAATAACGTCTAGACTGGCGCTTTTCTCTATTTAAATCCCCCGCGGAATTTGCAATTCCGACGTGCTACATTAGCATCCCTTTTCCAGAAGGGATGCCAGTGTAGACACAGCCAATGACTAGATGGGAATGTAACAAAACATACTCATGGAGAAACTCCATGGGCCTAGAACTTAGTTACAAAGAAAAGCCAAACATCTTTTAAGCAGTGCCAGACATCAGATCCCATACCCAACCCTTAAAACAATAAAACCTAATGAAACTGCCTAAACTTTACCCTACTTACAGAAAATGAGGAATGGTGTCTTTGGGGGGGGAGGGGAGAGCGAGAGAGAGAGAGAGAGAGAGAGAGAGAGAGAGAGAGAGAGATGCTTGTCCCCCTCTGTAGCTGCAGAGAACACACCTAGAGAGACAAAAGGGAGAAAGGAAAAAACCCAAATTCCTTTGTCCCAGTTTGAAAGTCCCACCTACATTCCTACTGGTCACTCCACCTGGCTAGGTGTAGTTAACCCCTTAATCCCCAGGCTGCTGGTTAACCCTCATAATCATGACAGGAGCTACTGTCAGGTAGATGCATAACTGGTTGGAAAACCATTCCCAAATGGTAGTTCTCAATGGTCAAGCTGGAAGGGCAGAATGGGTGGGGATCTAGTTCTGTTCAGCATCTTCATCAGTGATTTAGATGCTGGCATTGAGAGTTTGTGGAGGATACCGAGCTGGGAGGGGTGGCAAGTGCATTGGAGGAGAGAGTCATAATTCAAAATGATCTGGACAAACTGGAGAAATGGTCTGAGGTAAATAGGATGAAGCTGAATAAGGACAAATACAAAGTCCTCCACTTAGGAAGGAACAATCAAGGTACGTCTACACTGCATGGTTATTTCAGCATACCGGAGGTAGTGGACCGGAGGTATCCTGAAATAGCTACTCCGGGTCTACACAAGCTGCCTGATATTTTGAAATATTTTTTGAAATAACGGGTGTGCTATTTCGTCATCCTGGTAAACCTCATTGCACGAGGGATAAGGGATCGCATGAAACAGCGTGTTATTTCAAAATATGGCGCTGTGTAGACGTGCCAAATTTCAAAAGAGCCTATTTTGAAATAGATTTGAAATAAGATACACAATCTGTGCTACGCAAATTGCATATCTTATTTCGAGGTTGGGGGCTGTGTAGACGCACGCTCAGTTTCACATATACAGCATGGGAAGCGACTGTTTAGGAAGGAGTACGGCAGAAAGAGATCTAGGGGGTCATAGTGGACCACAAGCTAACTGGAGTATTGTGCCCAATTCTGGGTGCCACATTTCAGGGAATATGTAGAGAAATTGGACAATGTCCAGAGAAAAGCAATAAACATTATTAAAAAAACCCATGACCTATGAGGGAAGATTTGAAGGGGGAAAAAAAAGTTTGTTTAGTCTGGAGAAGAGAAGACTGAGAGGGGACATGATAACAGTTTTCAAGTGCCTAAAAAGTTGCGTCAAGGAGGAGGCTAGAGAAAACATGTTCTTTTTCACCTCTGATGCCAGGACAAGAAGCAATGGGCTTAAACTGCAGCAAGGGAGCTTTAGGTTGGACACTAGGAAAAACTTTCTGTCAAGATGGTTAAACACTGGAATAAATTGCCTTGTGGAATCTCCATCACTGGAGATATTTAAGAGCAGGTTGTTGGACACACACCCATCAGGGATGGTCAAGATAATACTGAGTCCCTTCCAGTCCTATGGTTGTTGTTTGAACAGAGGTCTATTTTTCTGCATATGCACATCTTACTCTTTCAGGCATTTCACTGTGGTCCATGCCAACAGCAAGTTACACACGTACCCAGAGTCACTTTTTCAACGCACCGGAAAGGGACTGTGCGCTGGCTGTGAGCGGTTTGGGGAGGTTCAGAGCCAACACGTGTGCCTCTGGTGTATGCACAGAACCTAAAACTGCTAAAAGAAAGCGGCCGATTCTATGATTCGCTGTGTGACAGTGGCTTTGTGCATGCTTCTGCCACGTTAATCAGAGAATGCTAGAACTGGAAGGTGCCGTGGCCTGCACCCCATCCGCTGCCAGATGTGACTCAGCCAGCAAGTAGAACAGGTTTATTGGTTCCCAGGGACACAGTGTAGCTCAGACTTGTTGTTACTGGAACCAGGAGCATTCAGTACAATCCATCTTGGAAATAGGGGGACCCATAGCCTGGCCCCCCAGGCAAGCCAGCTAGACTCCCTTCTCCCTAAGCCCGCTGAAAAAACTCACTCACACGAACTGGCCCATGAAAACTCATCACCTATTCTTGTTATTCATCTTGTTATTCTTTAAAGTGCTGCACAGTCCTGGTTTTTGTTTCAGCCGCACCAGACTAACATGGCAACATTTCTACCACTACACCCACTACCTGGTCCCAGCCCCCTAGGCAGCCCCCCTCCCCCTTCTTTGAGCAGATTCTCGGGCAAGGTGTTATCTGCGGCACCCGGTCCTCAGGTCATGAGAGA